TCATTCTTAACATGATTAAGGTGTTGTATTTGCATTTAAAGGTCACACACTTGTGTAGTTTATGTTATAAGTCACTTTGAATTAGGGCATTCCACTTGGTTGTAAGTGTTGAATGTGGTTTGAACTTTGGTTCTTTCTCTTGCCTTGACTTGTAATTTGCATGTGCCTTGGTTTCCATTTGGTTTTAGCATCTTCTTCTTGTGTTTATGCTTCTTTCCTTTGGCTTTTGATACTCATTCAAAGCAATTTGGTATCCTTTGTTTATACTTTGAGTTTGCTTTGAATGAGGGATCACTTTAAGCACTTGCTTGCTCCTTTCTTTTGCATGATCAATATGGGGTGTTTGGTTGAGATATCTCTCATGTTGCTTGCTGCCCAAGCCTATTCTCTCATCTCCATTTTGATCATGGTTTTTCCTCTTGGCTTTGTTGTTTATGTTTTGGTTTTAGTGATTGATGCATGAATGGTTGTAGGAGTTGTGATTCTCCCATTTCATCTCACTTTTTCTTTGACTTGTTTAAGTCATTTTGCTTCTTCCCCTATTTGCTTTGCATCTTGCATATCATGTTTACTTTATTTCTTGACTTGTTTAAGTCGTCTTCATCTCTTTCTTGCATCTCATTTGTGATTGATTTTATCTTGTGTTTTCTTGGTCTTTTGCCATGATCCCTTAGGATTCCTAGTCCCCCCGTTTAGGATGGGAGTATGAGAGACATTAAGTGTTCAATCCAAGTATGATAACATTAGGATAGTTTTTTCCCCTATTAATCTCAATCTTAGGAGCCCATTGCATGATAACATTATGGTTGATTAGTTTCCCCTTAGAGTTTGTGTCTTCTCTTCTCGTCTCAAAACTTCTTCAAGACATCTAATAAAGGATAATACGTGTTGTACGCTACGAGCCTTAAGTACTTGGGGAATGATAGTTGAGGGGCTTCCTCTCAATTGTCTAGAGTGTTTAGTGTATGCCCTTTAGGCAATATGCAACGCATTCGCTCTCAAGTCATAGTCTTTAGTTCAACATGAATTACAAATCTAATTCAATTCACTTCTTCATAAAAAACACAAAACAAAATATCAAATCTTTTTATCCTTCGGGATTGATTGGAAAATCATTTTCAGAAAGAGTGTGTTAACTCTTGGTTCTACCGCAAACAGGTAATGCCTAAGTCTCCAATGGTCGAGCAGCAATACACCTAACTGCTAGAACGAAGGTTTAACCCTATTCAGTTAAAACACTTGAACCAATCTGTGGTCGTGTCAGCCCGAACTACGTTTGCTCTGATTTCTCGTAACAGACGAGGATACGTAGGCACAAGACGGTGATGTCTTAGCGAACAACCTTCCCCACCTTCACCCGTAGTCTTTCGAACTACGTTAACTCTGACTTTCCCATTGCACGAGGGAGTACGTAGGCATAGAGCGGCGATGCTCTATCAAGTCTCTTTTCTTTTTCTTTCGTCCCTGTGGCAAGCCTTATAGATTAACACCCTTTTAGATTAGACAATAAGCGTGGATCCCGTTGAGTACAATGGACATGAGGGGTGATCATACCTTCCCCTTGCGTAACCGACTCCCGAACCCAAAATTTGGTTGCGATGACTTATCTTTTCCCTCTTTGTAGGTTTTCTCTGATCGTTTCCTTTCCCTCTCTTTGGGATAAATAACGAACGATGGTGACTCTTCTGTCTTTTCTGGCCCCTCTTCGCCGCAGTGCGATAATATGTTTAATTAAATTAAGTGGTACATGATCAGCAAGTGTGTGTGTGTGTTTCGAGAGGTGTAACATCATTTGTGAAAATGTTGTGAAAAATCTATAATTTAATTATTATTGTGCATTTGGGAAATAGGGTATTACAGAATGAACCAACCAAACTCTGATATCAACTATGTAACACCCTAAACTTGACACCCATGATTTATAAAAATAAAACATGTGATTTCACACAATATTGGTGTTACACATTCACTACATGCATTTTACTCCAATTATCACACATATTAAATAACAGTGGAACATCAAAACTCAAAATAAACATTTATTATGTCTCAAAATAAGTATAAAATAATTCAAACATCTCAAGAAACACATCATGTAACAAAGAAAATCGTCATAGTGTTAAAGATCAGTGCTCAACAAAAACTATATAACTCTGAAAATAATAACTAAATCAAGAGGCCTCAATGCCATCCTTCAGATCAATCAGAAACCACTCCTCTACCTTACTACTTGTACCTCAAGAGAGTACAAAACACCTTAACAAAGAAAACATGGGTGAAAACACGCTTAAAATATGTTAACAGTGTAAAAGCAATAAAGACCTACACACCAAACACCAACATAATCATGTCATTCACAACTTTAATCAATCATCAACATATTTCTAAAACAATCTCAATCATCACCAAATCATAAGTATAAATGTATGTGCAATTAGATGTCATAGTTATGTTACTGAACAATCTCATCCCCAACATTTGGACATTAAGGGCATATTATTGATCTAGTCTTATCACCAATCATCACAAATTCCTATTTTCGATATACGTAATGCATAACAATGCAACAACATACAAATATAATAAACATTCATTGGTTCCCCTTCGAACCGCATATTCGCCAATAAGGCCACCATCTCAACATAAATAAACATGTTTTACAATTATGTCTCACCAATGTATAATTATATAAGCATTTAATAATACATACTTATACATACACAAAGTATTCACACAACTCATAAAGCACATTGGTGTTTAATCACCAACTCATCAATAAACATCAAACAATGCCAAACATTGCTAATTAGTACCTAACAAAGTGCCAAGCATTCGTCAAAATATAACTCTTTCAAAAAATTAATTAAAAAGCAACTAACTTTGCGTTATCATCCCCGTTAAGTGCAACCATCGCTCGTTAAGTGCGGCTGGGCGAGATTTTTCTGTGCTAAGTACATACTCGTTGGGTCCTCACTAAACACAGATGCTCAGACAACAAAACAAGAAAATATGATTTCCACCATTGGAGCCATATCAAAGCGCTGCTTTTGACCCCAATAGTCCAAATTGAACATAAAAAACACATACATACCATACCATGATTAATGCATTATATATTCACTGATTAAACATCTAATCCATCACTTTATCATGAATTTAAGGTTATGTTCACAATACCAATAACACATCAATAATCACAATAACATTCAAATTCATATCATCGCATCATGTATAATTTTTAGCACAAAACATAACACAAATTTCATATATTTCATAGAAATCATAACAGACCTTACACAAACTTTTTTCAAAAACACATAAGTATTGACGATGGAGGAAATTATGAGAAAAACCTAGAGGAGGGTGAAGACCCCTCTCTACATTTCTCCAGCATCAATTTGAGGTTTGATTATGGTTTCTCCTTCTTAGAGCTCTTTTTAGGGTTCCTTGTCTCTTTCTCTTTTTTTTTACAATTTTTCACATATATGACAAAAAAAATTATACTCCCACCACTTAACTATTTATCTAACCTAATAATTCCAATTAGTTTATTTAATTCATAATTCTCCCTCGACTAGTTGGCTAATACACCTTACCACACCAATTACCTTATTATTCTATTTCACCACATATCTCACTATTTCATATTTTTCTATTATTTTAATTAAATAAAAAATCTCACAAATCCCAATGAATCCAACAAATACCAAATAAAACACATAAAGCATTTTATCACCAAAATAATTGATAAAAGAAAATTATAATTTAATTAAATAATTACTTGTTACAGGTCTCACCTCACATATGTCATCTCAAGCACTCTTTGAGGCAGATGAATCGAGTCTTGTTGATTTAAGGCGAGTCTGAGCCATATGGATATATTGATACACAATCCCTCAAGCATGAGATATGTAATGACAAAGTCATTTAAGTAATATTTGATAGTTCACAATTTCTCAATTACGAGACATGTAAGAGGAAAGTGATTTAAGAAATACATATAGTTCATAATCCCTCAAGTACGAGGTATATAAGGGCGAAGTGATTTAGTAATATTTGATTGATAATATAAATACCAATAGAGATCAACATGCATACAATTTTAGTGTTAGTTGTTGGTCCCTTGGCCGAGACAGAAATAGACGAATATAAACACAAATGAGCAAAAGGCTAATCTTTCTTAAGTTTATTAAAGTCTAACATCATTGTTAAAGCTATGAACTTAGTCAAAAGTAGTGTAGAATCGAATAATTGAACTTCATGGATAAATTCAATATTTTTAGTGTCTTTAACTGAGAATGATGAAACTACAAACTAAGAAATTTTTTTACAGACAGTTTAATTCTGCGACCTTATATTATCGGCAAATATTACTACACACTACTTAAATTAGGGTATCACACACGACTTCGATCTTTGTAACTTATGTAGTATTACCAATTGTCTCTCAAACTTGAATTCATTTTGTTAAAAATAGAATCATCAAAGTTAATCTTTAAAGAATAAAATTTTTAAATTTAGTCTTTAAAGAATAAATTTTTTAAATATTCATTAAACTGTAAAAAAAATTATGTATATTTAAAACAATCAAATGTGTGGAAAAGTTGAAAAGAAAAACTTTTCTTACTTGTTTTTATTGACTTTGAAAAATGATATTTGCATAACTTTTCTATAAAAATTTTACAATTAAAATGTGTGAATGTGTCAAAATATTTCAAATCTTTTACTCTATAATTAAAAGGACATTGGCATATCAATCTTTTTATACTTATGGGGGACAGGGGTACAATTAAAGATAGGAAGTAAATTTCTCTATTAAAAGAATCAACAATAGAAAAGCATTTGGGCTTAGACCAAGCCCAAAACCGAATAAAAACCACTCACTGGTCAATCACCGGGGCTATTGAGACCCACTTTCCCCCATTTTCCGAGTCTCAACAATCGTTTAATTTTGTGTACAAAGCGCAGGGAAAACCGAAGAAAGAGAACCAACGAAGAAGATGTTGAGGGTTGCGTCTAAGAGGCTTTCATCTCTCTCATGGAGGGCCAACCACGCCGCCTCCGCTTTCGTCTCTAAGACCCCCATCGCACCACCGCCTTCTTCCTCCGATGATGAACGCAGATCTGATCCCTTTTCGATCCATCCCCAATTCTTTCTTCCCTTCAGAGGTTAGTGCTTTCGTTACCATCGTATTCTGTTATGCAGGTGAAATTGAGCTTGAAATTATTCGTTTTGGTTGGTCGGTTTGATTCTTTGATGTTAGGGTTCGGATCAATTTATGATGTTGATTTTATTATTTGCTTTATGAAATTGGTTATTTGTGAATGATTTATGCGATTAGGTTTTAGCTTTTCGATGTTTTTGTTTATTCCAATCTCCGGGGAGGTTGGTTTTGTTAGTTTGGTTTTTTCTTAAGTTGTGTGTGTGTGTTTGAAGAAAGATTGAAGATTGCGTGGAATTTTTTCTCTTGGTTTCCTTTTGGATTTCAAGGCACATGATTTTTGCGGCTGTTATTAAAGTACTTATTTTTATAATTAATTGTTTTTTGTTGTTGAAATTTGATTTTGAGATATCTGTTTTGTCGTGTGTGTTTCATTGTGGGTTACGGAATTGCACTTTTGAACAAATTGAAGTTATCTAGTTTGTTGTTTTAATGTTTTGTATAAGCTTTTGAATTGCAATCATCACAATCATTGATATTACAGAGAATCACGTCTGTGGAGACATAAGAAACCTTAATGTCGTCGACACCCAAATCATGTTGTCTGACCTTTTTTAAACCCCAGTTATTGATAAAACGTTTTCTGCCTGTGGAATTTTAGTTCATTCTGAGGGATGTATAATTCATCCCGCTTCTGTGATGAATGTTTAGGTGTTTTTTGAAAACTGTATCAAAACTTAAAAGGGAAAACTTGATGGTTGGCAAGTTTTTGCCCTCTTTTTCCTTTATTTTTGTCATTTTTAGGATTAATTTGTTTAGGGTTATATCTGCCCTTTTCAAAATTCATTTTTACATTAAGTACTTTTTTTTCTTGTAACCCTTTTCTTATTAATTATTATTTTAAACATATATTTATGAAGAGAGTAAATGGTTGAGTGGACCAGTGAAAAGTAGGAGCGAGCATGTTTGAAATTTGCTTATTAATAACAATTATATATTAATTTGTGCAAAACAACCTTAAACGATATTAATAACAATTATACTTTAATTTGTGCAAAACAACTTTAAAAGATATGTATATAGGAATCGAGGAAATACTATTCTATGCATGCATAGTGGTAAATACTAATTGTTGAGTTATTCATTTAGGAAATGTGTTAAAGATTTTGGTGGTGAGGCATTATTTTCTGGTGGTATGAATATTAACTAAGATATGTAGTAAGTTACTGCTCATATGTTTGAATCATATTTATGGTAATAGTCATACTTCATCACTATCTTCAAAGCTGCCAGATGAAATTACACTGTAGAATGTTTTGCGCTATTGATTCTAGTTGCAATTTTAATAAAAACTCTGCAAATATGGTTAGGTGTTATTGAATTAATTAGTTGCCGTAAGATATCTTTCTGTTCCATTTTATGATTTACATCTAGTTTGTACTCTATCATTAGATCTATAATTGATTTGCAGTTGCATATTATGTTACTTTTAGGGGCTGACTTTTTTAGTTTTGTAATTGAGCTTATGTTATTCTTTGGTTGGGTGTTAGAACGAGGCTTGCTTTCCTTACAATTGATTTATAATTTTTATTCTACTAGATATAACTCCATTAATTCTTTTAGTTGTTGGAGTACAGCATTAAATAGTAATTGATTAAATTTGTTTGCATAATCCAGGTTTTGCTAGTGAGTCACTGGTCCATGCTAAAGAAAACAGCATTCTTCCTGACATCCCTGCAACTGTTACAGCTGTTAAAAATCCATCTTCTAAGATTGTATATGATGAGCACAACCATGAACGATTTCCTCCTGGTGACCCAAGCAAGAGAGCATTTGCATACTTTGTCCTAACAGGTGGAAGGTTTGCTTATGCTTCTGTTATCCGTCTTCTTGTTCTCAAGCTTGTCCTCAGCATGTCGGCAAGTAAGGATGTTCTTGCTATGGCTTCCCTTGAAGTTGATCTTTCCAGCATTGAGCCGGGCACTACTGTCACTGTTAAGTGGCGTGGAAAGCCAGTATTCATCAGGCGCAGAACAGACGACGATGTGCAGTTGGCAAACAGTGTTGATGTTGGATCTCTTCGTGACCCTCAGCAAGATTCTGATAGAGTCAAGAACCCAGAATGGCTTGTTGTGATTGGTGTTTGCACACATCTTGGTTGCATTCCCTTGCCAAATGCTGGGGACTTTGGCGGCTGGTTTTGCCCATGCCATGGATCACATTATGATATTTCTGGCAGAATTAGGAAGGGACCTGCACCATACAATCTGGAGGTACCAACTTATTCATTCTTGGAGGATAACAAGTTGTTGATCGGTTGAAGACCTTGAGCTGCTCAATAGTGGAATGAGTTCAAAATATTTTTGATTTATTGGATAATGTCGAAATGTGCCATGGACATACTTGGCCTGAAAATCATTATTTGTTGTTTTAGCAAGTGTTTATGTATCTTCGGATTTTAAGTATTACTGTTTGACAATACTTGTATCAATAATTGCCTGGCTTTTTGTTTACAGTTTACAAATGAATTGTTTAAAAGCTGATGACTTCAGGCATATTGCATTGTACTTTATCATAAATTACATTTGGAAATCTGATTAGCAAATAGGTTGTATGGCATTTTTTTTTCATTGTATGTGATTACATCTTCAAAACCTTTAAAATAAATTAAAAAAAAAAAACATCATGATCTTAAATGTAATAGGTGCATATGGCAAATATCAAATATCAAAACTGTCAGCTTGCTGTTATAGTATCATTGTTTACTAACATTTCTGTTGGCTGTTTTACACATGCCTATTCATTTGTGTACATTCTGTCCACCCATCTGGTAAAAATAAATCATGTTTCAAAAAGGCCTTTAACATAAACCATGCCCTTCTCACTAAACTTGAGTTCCTTTCTCATTTGCTCGACTTGTTGGTCATCACCTTGAACAACAATCTCTGATAAGGTTCCATCTTCCTTGACTATCAGTTTCATCTTAATTTGCTCCTTTCTGGATGCTCTAGTCCAGTAATAAGCACCCCTACATAAATATTCAAGATATCATCATCAGCTCATTCTAGGTCTCTACTAATCTTTTCAGAAAAAAAAAAAAGCATTAATAAGTTTAATGCGAATTGGGTGAATGTTTCACTTACGCCAATGGACTTAAGATGGTTAACAAAAACCAATTATTGCCAACATCTGGGACAGTTATAGTGAGCACAAGGGAAACACTAGCAAGACTGATGCAAGTGCAGAAAGTTAACAGTGCTGCTTGTCCCCTGCTAGGAACCATCACTCCTTCAAACCTTCACACAAGAATCATAAAAACTTGTTTAAAACCTTAACTAGAACATCTACTGTCATACCAGTATTGCATTTTACAGGTAGAAGCCAAAAGAAAAGAGAATGTAATAATGGTTACTTACGTAATTGTTTCTCCTCTATCAACCACTGAAAAATTATTGCGAGTAAAGAATGATAGCACCTCCCCTGCAACCTGTTTTGGTGGCTTATTTCCACCTTCATCTACAAATGTCTTCTTCACAATCTATTTTTTTCAACAAACCAAAATTGTCAAAAACACAACAACAATAACAACCTTAAAAAAAACAATAAATCAAAGTTGGAATGAACTAATGAATTACTTTGGATTTAACAGAGCGTTTGATGAGAGACCAAAGACCAGGAACAGAGATAACAAAGAGACCAAGAGAAGTATAATAACTAGCCAAAGAATAACCAGCTGTCTCTGTAAGCAAGAAAAGAGAATTGGGGTTCAGTAGTTGTTGTTGTTGGGTGATGAATTCGGCACTCTCGTGAAGGGATAATCGAAGTTTCTGTGGTTTTGGAGTTGGAAGATGGTGGTTGTCGTGGTGGTGCCATGGTTGTAGTTTGTTTGTGTGAAATGGGAGGGAGCGGAGAGGGATTGGAGGTGGGGATAGCAACATGATCTTGGCAGCCATTGATTTTGCAGGGAATGGATAATGAGAGAGATGGGTTTAGCAGCTGTTAGATTGATGAGAGTGATTTAACGGTGTAGATTGAGTGAGTTTATCTTTATTTTATTATTACACCAGTGTGTTGGTTATAACAGGTTTATTCAATAGATTTAAAAAATAAAATAAAATTTTATAATAGCGATCAATGTTGTGTAGAGACACATAGACATTGAACATGTGGCAATTGTAACTTTTTGTAAAAGGAGATATTTGTGGTAAACTATTGAAAACGTAAAGAGATGATAGCCATGGATGTTATTATGTTAAGGTGTGTGGAGGGGAAGGAGACTTCAAATTTGTGTAGGGTGGACTAACTCTTAAAATGAGACCTACCATTTATTTTTAAAAAAAGAAAAAAAATGAAAAAGAATATTTATTTGTATTGTTTTAATTTGGTCAAATTTATTTTTTTAGGGTGTGTGTAAAGGGAAGTTTAAAATTTGTCAAGGTTAAAATATGACTAAATAAAATTTAATAAAATATTTATCTTGATTTAACTGTAATTAAATAAGACTTGACCTCTTGAAATTTGAGATAATTTTGTCTATTTATTATGTGATTAATTTTTTTATAAATAATTTTAAGGCAAAATTAGAGTGTAATTAATTATAATTAAAAAATTCGGACTGGATCGGCCGGTTAGATCAAGAATCGGACTAATAAACGGTTTGTTCACTTGACAGATTGTCCTCGCTATTGGGCCGGTAAAAACTGATTTAGACCGCTAAAATTAAAAATTCCGCAGTTTTTGTAAATCGGCGGTTGAAATGCATTTTTATTTATTTTGCCTCAACGACGTCGTTTTGAGTTTTTAGTATTAAAAAAATGAAAACTCATTCTTTACAACAGGGTAAGGATAGAGAACGCAACATTCAAAGTCCAAACACATCGCCGTTTCGTTCTCTCCATTTTCATGTCTGTGGAACTGGGTAAGAAAACATTGTTTGAAAGTGAGAAAGTGTTTGTGAGAGCACGGTGAATGAGTGAGACATTGTGAGACATTTTTATACGAGTGATAAATCACTAGTTTCTTATGGTTAGTTTATGTTTCTAACATCCAAAGAGTGGAGAACCACAACTTATTTCAAAGATGTCAAGACAAAGCAATTTGTGGAACAAGTCTTAGACTCAAGCTTTTGGTCTACTTGTACGTGTGTGCCTATTATTGATAGTGAAGATAAACCGATCATGGGATATCTCTATCGAGCTATGTATAAAGCAAGAGAGGAGACTGAGAAGAGGTTTAGAAGAAATAAGGTGAAATTAAAGTCTTATTTGAAGATCTTGGATAACCGTTGGGATGCACAACTTCGCGAAAATCTTCATGCCGCTGGTTATTGGTTAAATTCATCTAATAGATTCGGTGTAGAATATGAAGAGAAAAAAAACAAGTCCACCACCCAAGGCCTTTTGGATATCACTGAAAAATATGCTTATGATAGTAAGGACTTGCGAACTAATTTTACTGTTGAGATGAGTTCGTTCAAAAATTGTAAAGGTAGTTTTGGAAGGACAACAACCGTAGAAAACCGAGATGATGTTTTCCCATATAAAATTAGATGATAAATTTTATGCATTTTATTTTAGTACAATGTCAATATGTATTTAAAAAAATTTCTAACTTTTTCACGTGCATTATTTTTATATCAACAAGAGATTAAGCGTGATTAGTTCTTCAATTTGCCAATAGATAGCCGAAAATCATGATGGGGCATAAACCATCTTTACCAAACTATAAGAGCGTTCATCGACACACTGAGCCACCACTCCACACTTGAAGCATCCTAGAGAAACACAAGCTTCTCCCCTACTTGTTTCATTCCCACTTCTGCAGACAAAGGTTAGAAAACAAACGTGTACCGACAGTGTTTTCACACACATGCCGCATACTAGGGAATAAATAACATTAGATAACTTGGTTGGACGGACCGACCTGCCCTGATACCACTAATGGAACACCCTTTTCTACCCCATAAATATAATGGAAAATCAATCATACTTATTAGAGTAAAATAGTGAACGCGATAAAATCATCTCAAAAGGGCGCACATTTCTCAATAATTCAAATATAGTCAATGCTCCGTAAACAACGGGTTTTCCCAAAATTACTCAAAAAGTGCTCAAATGGCAGCGGAACTCAAAAAGGCAAATCCAAAGTTTTCCTTGCACAACAACATAATCAAAATAACAAAAATCAATAAAATATGGTTTAACTCAAAGACCCCAACTCGATGTTACACTATCAGAGAAAGACCCTATAAGTCAACCAAAATGTCAAAAACTTCAAAAAGTCCTTGATGACATCCACGGCTAAACCTGGTCATCTGCACGTTACCCACGTGGAGGCAACATTCAAACAGGCAGGGTGAGTAAAACAATTCATAGTAATCAATATATAAAACAACGTCATTTTCATATTCAACATCATCATAATCATCAAGGAACATCAAAGCCCACAACATTATAAATTACACCAAATTGTCACATAAATGCAAATGCAACAAGACTCGTGCATGTGGTACCAATCGACAAAATTTGATGGACACTGGGCCATCAACCCTCCATAGATCCACAATAGTAGGATCGATTCTACACGAGAACCAGAGCACAACAAAATACCTCACATCCGCACAATGGGACTGAAACCACAAGAATCAAGGTCCTAGACCGAAGTCCGGAGTGCATATGAATGCATGATGCACACGTATAATCCTCATAAGAAACTTATTAGGTGCATCATCATTCATCAAAATCATCATAATAATCATGTCATCATAGAATCATCAAAACCTCATGGAATCAACGTCACAAATCATCACAGTCCCTCATGGGGATTCATCATGCAATCATGTATTGATCTTATAAGAATCACAATTATACTCATGGGTACTCATCATACGGTCATGTATTAATCACATAGGAATCACAGCTATACTCATAGTAATTCATTATACATTCATTTAATCACATAGGAATCACAACTATACTCATAGTAACTCATCTGGAAAATCACAGCATCAAACATCAAGACATCACTGAACCAGAACATAATTCGCGAAACTCTGCTACGTTTGCTGGCAAATTTGTCGTGCGAGTCTGGGGCGAATGTTCATCGTGCGAACTCGCAATTACAACAAATCGCTGTTACGCACCAACACCAAAACCAACCCAAAAACCTCTACAATTTCCTTCTCCAATGCTCTAAAAACATCCCCAAATCATTCATAAGGTATTACGGCGATAAAGACTCAAAATCTACGACTTATTAGGCCAATTCCGTATCCTATTTACGACTCCAATTCCCACAAATTTTTTACAAATACCCCCACAGT